TTTTAAAAGTAAAATCTTTGTTAAAATCTAATTTATCACTTTTTAAAACGGGATATCACTATAAGTGTAATGGAGACTCTTAAAGGAAATTTCTTCTTCTTTTCAACTATAAAAGAATTATCAAAATCAGTCGAAAAACAATGGAGTTATTTGAATTTTTCTCGATCAAGGTCAAGTCAGGTGGTCCGCCATTTTGGATGGCAGCCATATTGGTACTCGACCAACGCCGATCGTGGCAACATGCGTTTTCTTACTGTCCAAAGTGTCCTTGACAACAATCAAAAGAGAAAGTGCGTCCGAATAATTTTGCATACTCAACCCCAACCACGGCCTGGTCTATAATATTTACAGTCAAAAATGTAAATTTTAAACCTATATTCTATTAAATTATCATTGCCCATCGTGTTGATTGTTACAAACAGTACTCAAAATACAAACAACCATTTAAATAACAATAACACTATTTTCTAACCTCAAACAGTTCCGTCAGGCGTCCGAACAATCAAAAAGTATCATTGGAAAGAAATCTGAAATTGACTGACGGATGCCAGCAGAGTGACTGACGGGACTGCAACGGATGAGTGTAGATAGCGCAATAGAAAATCCATCAAAGAATATTGACGTGCCTGAAACGAAAGTGGTGTGAATCGACCTTAAAGGTCGATTTTGAGGTTAGAAAAGGTTAAAGGTTTGAGGTTAGAAAATAGTGTTAATTGTTATTTAAATGGTTGTGTTTGTATTTTGAGTACTGTTTGTAACAATCAACAAGATGGACAGTGATAATTTGATAGTATATAGGCATAGATAAAACATACTCTTAGTCTATGATATAGGTTTATAACTTTAAAATTTTGACTATAAATTACTGTGAATTTTAGAGACGGAAGACTGACTGAAACCAACTGACGGACAATTGACTGAGAAATTGCGGATGCAACTGTGACTGGACTGTAACTGGACTGCAACTGGACTGTAACGGAACTGTGACTGGACTGATGTGTGTGAATCGACCTTTTACTCAGTCAATAGTCCGTCAGTAGGTTTCAGTCAGTCTTCCGTCTCTAAAATTCACAGTAAATTAAAAAGTTTTAAATTATCTTTTCTATACATATATAATTCAGTTTTAAAAATCATTGTACAACTAAATCTAGAGTTCTAATGGACCGATTTTATTAAGTAATGGGTCGTTGGAAAGCTTAGGTCGTGTAGATTTGCAAATAATTATGAAAGTTTGTTTTTGTTATGATTTATGGTGCAAAATTAAAAAAAAAAACATGTTTTTCCTACAGTCACCCGACAAAGTTGGCTTCCTTGTACTGTTTATAGTACAGAAAGCTGCTAATTGCTGCATATTTATACTTTGCCGTACGGTTTATACTTTGTCGTACAGTTTATACTTTGCCGCACATCGGGATTCCAACGAAACAACACAAAACAGCGTGGTTCTATTATGTACGTAATCCGTGTACGCTTGGAAATAGGTTGGCAACACTTTTATTAACAAGATAATAATACTATGAGCAGCTGATTGACTATTATAACTACGATTTAACCTGTCATTTCGTGTTTATCGTTTCGGTATTTCTGAACTTTCTGGACTTTTCTTTTAAACGTTTTTAAAACGTTCCTACGATCTTAATAAACAAGAAAATCTTTAAAGCATTTTTTTAGGCGCGGAAACCACTACAAATTACAAAAATATACGGAACTATATTCTCAAAACGCGGAGCTTGTAGCGTAAAATTGTAGATACCTTAATCAAATCGTCATAAACAGTTCCCTTACGCCAGACAGCTCGCCTTGACTACTTCCTTCACCACTTCCTACGTCACGGACCTGTTTCCTTCTCTTTCCATAGCATTTTAGGATTGCAGATACCTTAATCTCATCATCATAAACAGTTCCCACACTCCGGACAGCTCGCCTTTGCTACTTCCTTCACAACTTCCTACGTCACAGACCTGTTTCCCTCCCTTTCCATAGCATTTTAAGATTGCAGATACCTCAATCTAATCGTCATAAACAGTTCCCACACTCCGGACAGCTCTCATTTACTACTTCCTTAAACACTTCCTACGCCACGGACCTGTTTCCCTCCCTTCCCACAGTATTTTAGGATTGTAGATACCATAATCTTATCGTCAAAAACAGATCCTTCACTCCAGACAACTCGCCTTTACTACTTCCTTCACCACTTCCTATGTCACGGACCTGTTTTCCTCCCTTCCCATAGCATTTTAGGATTGCAAATACCTTAATCTAATCATCATAAACAGTTCCGACACTCTGGACAGTTCGCCTTGACTACTTCCTTCACCACTTCCTACGTCGCGGACCCGTTTTCCTCTCTTCCCATAGAATTTTAGGAATGCAGATACCTTAATCTAATCGTCATAAACAGTTCCCACACTTTGGACAACTCGTCTTGACTACTTCCTTCACCACTTCCTATGTCGTGGACCCATTTTCCTCCCTTCCCATAAAATTTTAGGAATGCAGATACCTAAATCTAATCGTCATAAACATTTTGCACACTCCAGACAGCTTACCTTTACTACTTCCTTCACCACTTCCTACGCAGTGGCGTACCGATGGGGGGGGGGGGGGGGGCGGCAGGGGCGGTCCGCCCCAGGCCCCACACCAACATAGGCCCCCAAATCAGGGTCGTATTCCCCTAACTTCGAACACGGCCATTGCCGATGGCCTCTTGGCCTAGGAAGGGGCCTTACTTGGGCCTCAAATATTGGAAAATAATTTTTGCTGTTGAATATAATCTCATCTGTTCTTACAATCACCGGAAGCGTCTGCAATGATTGTGCGATCGAAAATCACGACTCCCAGCGATCACGAGGGACGATAATAAGGTCTCGCAACCGCAAAAGATGTTCCGTGTTCACGATTTCGCCGCGATTGTGGGGGACGATAATGTTGTCCACGTGTTTGCCGGAGATGTTAACGATTTCGGCATGTAGAATATATCCATGCGTCCGCAAAAGATGTTCACTATTCAACCGTAAACCGTGTAAACATAGTACATGTTTACGATTGCTCCGGGAGACGGAGATTACGACCCCACAAACACGGACACTCACAATTTCGTCTGCACCGAGGTCAATATAGTTTTTTTTTGCCCCGATTACAGAAGTCGTTTGGACCAATCATAGTAAAATATAATGTATAATATAAAGATAGGCTAATATAATTATATTATTTATTTTATACAAAAATAGTAGGCCTATCTCCTAAATAAAAAAATTTTAAAGAAGTGGCAGAAAAAAACCTGATTTGTGTTACTTCTTGGATTGCTCGTGCTTATTTTGAATCTCAAACTCATAAAAACTTAAAATGTTTAAAACTTAAGGGGAAATTTATTTTAGCATCATTCAATTTTTCTCAAATACAAAAATAAATTACATTTAAAATAGTTGAAGTAAGCTAATTTAATCAGTGATACAAAATACATTAAAGGCGTATATTTCTTTTTAGTTCTAATCACTGTTTAGGGTTTGGTACCCTGTTTAAAATAATTTTAAACATAAAATGATTTTAAACAGGTTTGGCCTACTATGGTATTTAAAATTTCACTTGTATATATATGTATGTAAAAAGGCCCTCTCATCTAAGCCGCCCCAGGCCCCCCAACTATGACAGTACGCCACTGTTCCTACGTCACGGACCTCAAGCTAGTGCCGTCATTTGATTATATTTATGATCCATACCGTTTCTGTTCTAATATCTGTGGAATAATGCTATGAGCTATTTCTTTATCTACTGCATTCAAAAGTCAACAGCTATATGTATTTGTTTATGTGTCAAATACTGCTTCCATAAGGATTACATTGAAACTTTGAACCCCAGTGGGGCGGATTCCTGAGAGACTTTTTTAACGCTATATAGATGTTGGTACTCACCAATATGGTCTTTATCACCATGCAAAATTTGAACACGATTGATTCAGCCGTCTAGGAGGAGTTTGCGTATTACGAAATGCATAAGAGTCGACGTATAAGATCTTCACTCGCTCAGCTCAATTAATATAAAATATGATTTTGTGGACAGAATTGATGAAAAATTATTAGTCGATTAAATGTAGGGGTGAGGTTTGTTCTCTTTGTCGCCAGTTAATAATTATGATATTCTTCATAAATCTGATAGCCATGACATAGTGCCTTTTCACTTGACTACCTACGAATTCGACTGATTGTCTAGCCAGAGGTAAAACTAGTCAACTAGTCCAAAGACACCCAAAGACCTTGTATTCTTTTCCCTTCGAGGAACGTATTTTCAGTAAAATTGGGTTAACCTTAATATGCGGGCTGGCTCTATTCTAAAGGTATAAAATATGTTCTTTACGGTAGTTTATGTTTTAACCATAGGAATGGCCTAGCTATTGGTAGTTATGCAATACATCACATCCGAATAAATGTGTAACCCTACATTTATTCGGACGAGTTCGTAAAGCAGCATGATCGGACCATGGCAACAGCTAGGGGTTCAGGGGGGGTTTTATAGCCTAAGGTAAAAATTGGGTTCATACAGGCATTATCAAATTGAAATTTTTTTGTGTGATAACATTTTCACTGTTTGTCAGAATAAACCTGATAAGTTTGGCTTTAATATGTTTAGCCGTTATTAAGTTATCTGATTACATAGTTTACATAAGGTCCGATCTCAAAGAGCTTTGCTCGCTCTGCTCAATGAACAATTTTTTTCAACATGGAGTTGGTATCATAACAAGTTACCGGTATAAAATTTGCAACTGATCCTTTCTTATGAGTTTCTACAGAAGAATTCAATCTTGGGACTAAACGGATTGATAATATTAATATCATTTAGAATTTTCACCATGGCAATAAACAGGAACAAGTATTCATTCCCAAATTATAACTTGAAGAATATCTTACATTTTAGTAAGATAGTACTTGACAACATTACATATTAGTTGACACTGACACAAAATCCGCAAAGATAATAACATCCATCGAAAATAAAATCTGTCAAACAATGATATCTTTGATTTATTTAAGTTTTGTTCCATTTGATTAACAAGTAGGACAAGTATCACGATAGTGTCTCAGGGCTGTTAAGGACCATTTCCACAGCTTGGTAAAGGTTGATGACTATGGCATCTGGTTTGACTCTTGGATGTGACTCATCTCCAGGCCTAAACTTGCCTGTCTTGACCAACACTCCACGGAGACCACATGCCTGGGCTCCTCCTACATCTGACTCTATATCATCCCCAATCATCACCACCTGACACAAAACAAAATATCAAATATGTTAATAGCCCAGTGGTTAGGTGTTTCATTGAATGCTTAGGTTTCATAGTTGATGATGCAAAAGTGATCAATACGCATTCATTGAATTTTTAACCAACTACAGAGCGCAAGCTACCATCTCAGACCCATGCTGCAACCCTAGTAAGCTCAGACAGATTATTACATATTTACAGTTGAAGTGATCATGAATATATGTTTAAAATTGCCAAAGAGGTACAAGTAATTAACTTTTTTGAAGTGTTTGATTAATTCTACAGCAAAAGTAAAAACATGTAATGTTTAAATTATTTCTTTAAATAGTTTTCATCACTAAAGTAAAGTTACTCTTTTCAACCCGAAAAAAGTTTTACAATCAGAGAGAAGCCAAGATCGGAAAATGAGTGAGTGTTAAACCGAGACTTTTTGCCCGTGATGATGAATTATAATTTTTGTCAAATTGCACAATTATTTAAGTTAACTAAGATAGAAAACGAAAAAACTTTTCATGTAAAGATAACCTCTCAAAACAACTTCTAACTTGTTTTCAATCTAGCTGATGGAAACAAGCAGTGTTAAGTAAGTGATTCAATCATTTGGACTATAACGAATCTAAACGATTGCGTTAGTGTATACCATCGATATGCCAAACTGTTAACAAGAATGAAACAGTAAGTTACAACAGATTAAAACATTCTATACTGTACATACTTTCGATACATGCCATTTTACAGTCAACGTTCACAACTGTATAACAGCTGACTTTTACTCCCCAGAGGGACTAAAAATTATTTTTACTCCCTAGTCCCTAAAGAGTAAAAGAGCTACTTAAGACCCGCAACACATGTATTAATACCCCCGCCGCAGCAAACCTGCAGACTAAGCAAATTTCATCTTGCCTGATTACATTTGTATTAAAATCTTACTAATATTATAAATGTTAAAGTTTGTGTGTGTGTTTGTTTAGTTGTTTGTTTGTTTGAAGTTCAATCACGGACGGGTAGGGCTAAAAATTTAGCATGATGATAGCTCATATTCCCGTTTAACATATAGGCCTATTCTTATCTCAAAAATCTTTTCTGGCTCTGCCCCAGTGGCTCTTTAGTTCCCCATGTTAACCTTATGAGTATTCATATTTTAAAGGAATAAAAGAATTTAGTCAGCTGTTTCAACTTAACAAGATGGTTCCATGATATTGTTCAAATTATAATAGCAGTTATGATCTGTTGGTGCTACAAGGTTTGTTTATGTATGAAAATAACAGTTAACTTAGAATCTCCTCTTTCCAACGGTATCAAAATTACTACGCTTCTGGATAGTTTTCATCGCGTAGTAAGCGTTCGAAAAAAAGGGCACCTGGCGCACACATGAAGTTAGTCCTAGGGTTAATACTATTCTATTAATATTTGGTGGAAAAAACACTTTTTACCTTTCCTGTTGCAGTAAACCTAGGTACTTAAATCTAGTGTTATTTAAATGGGGAATAAATATCTCTTGTTTTTGGAAATATTTAGTATAAATCCAATCAGACAAATTGAAATTCGCTTAGTTTTCAGGCTTGCTGCGGTGGGGTACGTTTCTATGAAAAGATTATCATATATATTAAAAAGTGACAGAGTTTTTTATTTCACAATTCTGAATCAACCACTCGACGGATTTTCATGATTTTTGTATTGAAAGAAAGATAATTTTGAGAACTAGGGAATGTCGAAGCCATAATTTTAGTTTAGGGTCCCAGTTTTTTTTAAAATTAAATTTTAATTTTTAAAAGTCTAGCAGCCGACGCCAACATTCTAAACTAGCTTTTGGTATAATATAATTTGCTTAACATAACAGCTGTAAACATCCTTATATATAATACGTGAAGGCGATTTCTACGAAACGCTACTCCTCCGATAATAATGGACGGATTTTTACAAACAATGTGTCAAAATGAAGTATTTATTATGTAGACGCACCCTTTCTCCAATTCCTACAATAAAAATCCTCGGGCTTTGCCCCACAGGCCATCAAAGTTGGAGTTTCTCCGATAAAATTAACATGGGGGAATCTAAATATTCAATTGAAAAGTTTGTCCCCACTAATCTGAGAGAACGACTGGGCGTAGAAACTTGGTAGAGGTGTCCAAAGAAAGGTCTTGGTCTGTAGATGAGTTATCAAAAGAAAAACGAAGTAAATTCGCTTAGGGCTCTGCCCCAGAAGCCTTTAAAGATCCCTCCACAGATTTGTTTACATTTTGGTCATGTGGATAATACTTTTTAATATAACAGCTGTTAATTTTAAAATTGTATTTTAAACAACACACATTTATTGGGAGTTACCGAATAGTCCAAAAGAAGTATTTGCAATGTTATTTTCTGATTTTAAAATTGATTTTCTTCTGTATCATGTCATGTGTTGCAATATAAAGTTCCATTACGAAATCATTGGAAAATCCTTTTATCACAATAATTCTTACAATTATTTCTTATTGAACTATCTTATATATATTTTACGGGTTGGTGTCTGCCTTTTTCACTACTTTTGCCTACATTTTATCATATTATTCTACACAAATCAAATAATTATGTAGTGTTCAGTACTTATTAATATAATCATCCCACATTATTTATTTAACACTCTTTGATTTGCTATGTTCATATTCATTTGTACCAGCTGATGTTAATTATTAATTGATACGGTTTATATCTGTGTTAAAAATGTTTCTTTCAAATACAGTTCAACTATTTTCTAATATATTATTTCTTTTATTCTCATCTAAAATACAGTCCACTTATTAATTATCACACATATTTTTTGGTCCTTGCGAGCCTAGATTTTTTACTTGAACCTTTTATTTCAATTAACCAAATTTCCTAAATTCTTTGATGTTTTAAACTTGTCTACCTATGTCTAGGAAGAAAGAAGATCAGATTGCTCAAGAGATAACTGTTTTAGAGTTTCAAAGAGACACTTTTGCCAAGAAGATAAAAACTCTCCATTCAATCAGTGTTGACTTACCGTACTTAATGATCCAACAGCATATAACAATTTTAAAGTACGCTTCGATGAACTCAAACCTACTTATGAAGAATTCCGCCGCTGCCACATCGACATTATAAAACTCAAAGTTTCTCTTGATGACAAAGAAAACCTGTCCATATACCAAACTATTGTTGATGAAGTCGATGAACTGTATTATTCCATTCTATCAACCAACTTGAAGTTTGCTCCGTCTGCTGAATCAAATTGTACCAATTCTAATGGGTCAGGTGAGCATGCACACACCAATAGTAAGGTAAAACTTCCCAAAATCTCTTTACCTAAATTCAATGGAAACTTGAAAGATTGGCCTAATTTTAAAGATTTATTTTGTTCCCTAATCCACAATAATGAAACACTTTCTCCAGTCGAAAAATTCCAATAATTGTTGTCCTGTTTGAGTGAAGAACCACATTCTTTGGCACGTACTCTTCCAATAACTAGTCAAAATTATTAATTAGTTTGGGAACAAAATTGTCTCTAGGTACGATGATAAACGTTGCCTAGCCACACATTATTTGGAGGAAATTATTGCTTTCCCTTCATTACATGTCTCTTCTCCGAAAGCTTTAAGACACTTGTTGTGAAAATGCAAATGCATTGAACGCAACAACCTTCCCTGTAGATTTAGGAGATTTTATGCTGTTTCACACTTTAATTCAAAAACTTGACAAACATACGAGACAATTATTTGAAAGAGCTTATTCGAAAAGTGAATTTCCCACATTTCATAACTTAATAAGTTTTTTGACAGATCATTGCAAAGCTTTAGATGCTACTTCTACTAATATTCGAACAGTTCCAATAGCACAGAAACCTAAGCCAAATTTACTTCAAAATGCTTACAAACCATCTAATGTGGCAAGAAACACTTATGTCACTAATATTCGGACACCCAATTGTATTTACTGTGACGAACCACACACAGTGTACACTTGTACAAAGTTTTCAGCTTTGTCCATCAAGGAACGTAGGGATGCTGTGCAATCAAAACAAGCCTGTTTCAATTGTCTCAGCATTGGGCATATGTTGGACAATTGTACTTCAACATCTACATGCCGAAGTTGTAGTAAACGACACCATACACTTCTCCACGACGAGTCAGGTTCGCATCAAAGAAAATCAGATCAGGTATGTCATGTGTCACATTTTTACAAAAGCCAAACAAACACTGCCAAAGATGACAAGCCAGTGATGTCAGGGTTTGGATCCGGTAAGACTGACTCAATTACTTCAGTGTTACTCGGTACAGCAGCTATTCAAGTGAGTGATTCATTTGGTAAATATAGGACATTTCGAGCTCTTATTGATCCAGGATCTCAAGCTTCATTTATTAGTGAACGATGTGTTCAACAGCTAGGTCTTCAAAGACAAAAATTTAATGCTCCAGTACAAGGACTATCTCAAACATCTATTGTTAAGACAAAGGGATGTGTCAATATTTCTATCAAACCTCGTTTCCAACATGGGCCCATTCTAAACACTAACGCTATTGTCCTCTCTCAAATTACATCTTCTTTACCTTCTACTTCTCTTGACCCTGAAATAAGAAAACATTTCCAACGCTTTGAACTCTCGGATCCACATTTTGATGTTCCTGGAGATATTGATGTTTTGCTCGGAGCTGAGTTGTACCCCGACATTTTTGATGGTGGGCGGAGATCTACCCCTCATGGTATGCCTACTCTCTACCACAGCATTTTTGGTTGGGTTCTAATTGGACCTATAAAAGTTCACCGCCCAAGTAAATCCTTTCCTACTAAAGGACCATCAAACTATTATGAAAGACAAGACTACTCCACAGACAAGAAGATGTCAACCTACTCTGCTGGATCTAAAAAAAATCAACAATTTTTCAAGATCATACAGAAACCAAACTAGACCAGAATTTCACATAAACACAAGAGTTGCCAAGGATAAGTCAAATAAGAAAAACCACTAAAGTTGTTTTTGGTGGGCGGTTATGTTCAGTACTTATTAATATAATCATCCCACATTATTTATTTAACACTCTTTGATTTGCTATGTTCATATTCATTTGTACCAGCTGATGTTAATTATTAATTGATACGGTTTATATCTGTGTTAAAAATGTTTCTTTCAAATACAGTTCAACTATTTTCTAATATATTATTTCTTTTATTCTCATCTAAAATACAGTCCACTTATTAATTATCACACATATTTTTTGGTCCTTGCGAGCCTAGATTTTTTACTTGAACCTTTTATTTCAATTAACCAAATTTCCTAAATTCTTCCAAATTTCCTAAATTTTATTTTATTCTTTTATTATTATTTCCTTTATTCTCATCTAAAATACAGTCCACTTATTAATCATCACACATGTAGAAATATCTGCTCTTATCGTGTCTAATAAAATCCAAACATGGAAACCTTGCCTAAAATGGTACCCATCTTGGCAAATTATTTGCACCTGCCTATATTACGGACTTTGGCGCACTGGGTTGGTAACATTATTGAAAATAGCACGACATTTTGGCTGTAAAATATGGTACAAAGAGAAAATACTATTTAAGCAGCTACTGTCATGACAGAAAGGTCATATTCCTTTTAAACTAGATCACATAATCCTTTATAAGACGTTGATTAACAATATGTAAACGTCAATATATACGTAACAGCCAATTTACAGTATTTACGCTTTTTGGAAATGTCCCATTGCTATGTCATTTGCATTATTTGTTGCCAATGAAGCCGCAAAGCCGTATGAACTAGGAGGTCCATAACAGTTCAAGAATAAAATCCAACTTCACTTCCAAGTATTCCACTACACCTAACATTCCGTAGAGAGATTATATTGACAACTTTATGTTATTGAAAAGGCTGAGACAACTAACTGACATCCCGATATCATCCACCAATACGATTTTAATACTATTTAAAGGTTCTTCCAAAGGAAGGGATCCATATAACATACTAATAATAACTCCGATGACGTACGGTATGAGGAATATTTTATTCATTTAATTATCAACCGAATTTGGCAACTAACGCAATTAATATCATTATTGTTTTTACACTTATTACTCTCTAAACAATGCTAAATGCTCGAAATGTGTATATTTCACCCAACTTATTGCAGTTAGATGAATTAACGTAAGCCTTGAAAGTAACCGTCGATTTCGACGGGTTTCATCTAGTTTAAAAAAAATTTGTTTTTGTAGGCTCTAGCTTTGCTGATGATTGTAATGTGCTAATTCCAGGAAAATCAAAACAACAGATTGAACGTTTTCTCAGGAGTCTTTTATCCACTAAAGAATTCCTTTACCAAAAAAATCTTGGTACTTTCCTGTTAAAGGGAACATTCATTATTATCGATCTGATTTCTTTCGATATATCGATAGTTTTGTTTTCCTTTACGATCCATTCCTTCTGTTTCAATATCTTCAAACACATTTAAATTAAAATTGACAACTGATCTTGTTTAGGCAAAATAATATATTATGTGGATCCAGAAATAAAACTGTTCTAAACAAACCTAACATAACTAACCAAACTTGCTGTACCATTTCAAAATTTTGTTTGATAACAGAAAAGGCATGTGAATAATATGAAACGGGATTTGGAAATGTTACAGCAAGTTTGGTTGGTTAGGTAAGGTTAGTTTAGAACAGTTTCATTTCAATATAATGTTTTTAAATTGTTTGTTGATACTGAACAATACTTACTTATCATAGTTGTCAGCTGATATCTCGTTCATTAATATCGGTATTCAAAATTTCTTGGACTAATTATTGATAAACATCTATCTTGGGGCCATGTCAGTGGCGACGATAGCGGGCCCGGGGGGGCCCGTGAGCCTTGACTGGGATTTTCGGTAAATTTTACGGGCCCGCAATAGTGTGACAGGCTCAGCCACAAAACACACGGGTCCCCTATCATAACACTATTTATATGAGAATTAAAATACGTTTTTTATGATGAAGATGTGTTCAAACCAATAGTTCAAGTAGTTTACAACAGCTAAACTAACAATATTACTTGACCAATCGATATAAATTATTTACCAACCTAAGTAAAAGAATTGTCATCAGTCATGGGGGTTGCATTAACTGTCCTCGTGGATTGTGTGGAGGCGCAGTCAAAATTGGTTGCATAATAATAGGGCCGTATTTATAACCAATGTGACCTCTGGCCTAGGAAGATAAAACATTAATGTTAATCCTCCTAGCCCCTAGCGGGTGACACCATTAGGATCCTCTATGCTGATTCGACTAAATAAACTTGACAATTTTGTTACGACCAAATCGGCAAATTAACCTAGGAGGCTAGGGCACTAGCTAATAAATAATTCCATTCTTTCAAGATGCTTAAGAAGGATTTTCATTTCATTTTATGTCTTACTATTAGGAGGCTGCCCTTTAGATTTGTTTACTTCGCACTTTAGATATGTTTACATCAAGTCAGGTAAAAAATGTTACTCACCTAAGGGCCTCAGGCCAAATCAGATCGGTTCAAAATCGGGTTGCTTTGGGAGCCGATTTTCTCAGTATTCAATACAATAATGCACAATTAAAAGTAAAAGCTTTTATATCCGTGAGGATCACGCTCACGAAATTGAAAGATTATGCCTACGCTTTTGCCGCGATCGCGGATATCGACGAGAACATTTCCCCGCGGGTGACGATGACGATGTCTCCGCGGCCGCAGATGTTCAATATTTTCCCGCGATTGCGGAAGACGATAATGACGTTTCTTTTTTAGCGAGAGATATAATCTAGGATTTAGCCGCGATTACGGAAAAATGATTTACCCGTCACCACCGACGGGTCGCGGGGAGATATTAGGCCGTGATATTAGATTGGGCCGTGAACGCGGGAGACGATGATGCTGCTATCTAATGATGTCATAGGTTTGGTTGCATTTGCAATCACGGTAAACTATGATGATTTTTCTTCCATGACTTATGACTACGGGAAGTATTTACGATTTTGCCGCGATCATGGAAGACGATAATGACGCCTCGGGAGATGCCTTGTCAAGTTTATTGCAAAATTGCAAGTTTAGGTGGTAATACACGGGGAAATGTTTTTAAAGATCATTGGGAGAGGGGGGCCTGGCGAACAAACTTGCGGGGGGGCCCGCGGGTTCTTATCGCCGCCACTGGGCCATGTAAATGCGGTTAAACTGGTATCCATGGTCTGCGACAGATGTCCAGAATATGCAGTTTAGACACTCTTGAGAGTTGTTTATTTCTCATTAATACATTCACATATTTCATATGGAATATTCTCTTTTATGTTGCTATTATTTCATATGTTGCTCTTGTATGGAGCAACAACAAAATCAAATTTAGATGAAGTTCACATTATACAGAAAAGAAGCTATCTAGGTGATGAAAAATCTTTAAAAAAAAGCCAATCAAGAGCATCTTTTGTGAATTACAAATATTAACATTTTATATAATCATTACATTTATGAAACAATAATTTATGCAAAACGGGTCCAACTATTATCCACTTCAACAGAATAATTAGTATATAACAATGATATAACACCAGATTAAAAATTAACCTATTTCGGCATAATCTAGAATTCTAAACTAAAAAGACATCTTACATACGGCTAAAATTTCTCCAGTTTTTACCAGCTCATATCCAAAAAGAAACACAATTTAATTATAAGCAGCTCTTGAAAGACTTTTTTATAAGAACTCCCTATGTTTTGACTTTGATTCTACACGATGGTTCTAATACAAACTGAGAATTTTTCCATGTTTTAAGGGTAAACATTTTAAAACCCCAATGTTTGAAAAATTAAAAAACCCTACGACACTCTGTTCTTGTAACCCGATCTTGCTGGTTTGCAAACTCATTCAAGTTTATTTTGCCCAACATATTCGTGCCGATTTGATCAAAATTGGACCGAATTTACTCGAGTTATCATGTTTGCGGACACACATTAATAAAAATTAAAACGATTAGGTAGTGTTTTTGGCCTCAGGGGACATCAAAATGAAAAAGTAAATCGGTCCCGGGTCTAGGTCTTGCTGTAATACCTACAGTAACAGCTACTTCCCTTTAGGGAAATTTGCTAAAAAGAAATTAACAAGGTGAAAAAGAAGCATATAAAATGTGGCTGACCCGCATGTTGCCAAAGTATGTCCCTGTTGTATCAATAGGTTACCATTAACCATTCATTATAGAACACTAAGTTTTCAACTATTGGTCTATTTTCAGGTTTTATCTGACAAACCTCAGAGGGTGAGAGATTCATGTCTTCTACAGCTGCTAGGAAGAACGTTGGATCAGGTTTTCCAATAACTCTTGGCTTCACACCAGAAGAAAATTCTAGTGCCTTAGCAAATGCGCCAACATCAAGTGTCAGTCCATCCTTTTCTTTGTAATATTTTCTGTAAATGTAATAATATTTTGAAATTTGATTATGATATTCATTTTTCACATTTACACTGAAGGAAGAGTAAGATAAAGTTTAAGAATTCAGTCACAAATTAGTCAACAACACCGCACAGGACAGCCAAGAACACATGCCATTAAAATATGATACAGTGGAACCTCAGTTTAACGAATGTCAAGGGACTAAGGAATACATTCTTTATATTGGGGTATTCTTAAAAACCAATAAAAATCAAATATGGAAAATACATTCATTTCTTACTAAACTATTAACATTTTACAACAAAAAATACTTTTTTACCCTCCCTGTTGCAGCAAACCTAAGTACTCGTTAAACTAATTCTATTTTAATGGGCAATAAATGTCATATTTGTAAGGAGGCATTTTAGTGTAAATCCAATCAGGCAAAAGGAAATTTGTTTAGTCTACAGGTTTGCTGCAGCGGGGGTATTTGTTTCTAAGTTACTGAAGATCTCCCCAGCCATCCACACTTTTTTATTGGCAACTTACTTTGTAGGCAGAGACGTTATGTTTTTAAAACAGCGTGGCTTTTTTGATTTTCCAATAATTAAGGGCTTTAGTTTATTGGTGGCTGATATATTTTAGCTCCAAGCATGACTGTAAGCCGCTCCTTGCTGTTTTGCCCTCCACTACAGGGCTCGCCTTTAAAGTTTTGTCTGGTAGGCATTTAAATAACATGCCTGTTCCTTCATTTTATGTTGTTTGTTGTTGTTCCGGATCGGTTGACAATCAATAAAAGGTTAAATTACCTGTGTCCGCCGGTCGATCCTGAAGTATCCTATTGCAGGATATGCATTTCGGCGAAGTTAAATCGCCATCATCAGTCCTTAATACAAGATCTTGAACTTCCCCATTAGGTGCGTCTTCAAGTTTTGAAAACATGTACACAAATTTTACACTTACACACATGACGAAATCATAAATACATGGTAGGCCTACTTTTATTTTTACTGCGGACAAATAGACGCGCGTCGGTCGTGTGTCGAGACTCACATATCCTGCAATAGGATACTCCAGGATCGACCGGCGGACACAGGTAATTTAACCTTTTATTGAATGCCTGTTCCATCTACATTATAAATATCATCTAGATGATATCCTTCTGTCAATTCTGTTCAGCAGTTTCTACGTCCTGTAATTCTGGTCGTTCAGCCTTTTTACACTGGCCAGACTGTCCACCCCCAGCTTCATACTTATTTTTATTTGTAATGATTGTTGCAAGAGTAGTTGATGTTATGTTTAAGTCCTTCGCAACATCCACTTTCTTCTTATATATATGGGACTTCCATACTAAGGGACTACTACTTTTCTCCTTCATAACAAGTGAACACAAAAAAAAACACTAACCAATACACACCTGTAAACTAGAAGGCAAAAATCTAAGTAAAAACTCTGCACAACACATATCACAATATGAACACTGTGATAGATCGATAGAGGTAAAGCACTGACTGCGGAGCAGACATTGACTGTGAGAATGAGGAACTGAAAACTTTCCTGTTCAGACGTGTTCATATGGTCGACTAAATTTGGATAAAATATGTAATACAGTAGAGTCCCTCAAACTCTGCGTAATATGGACTGGAAGGGTGCCAAGTTTGTGAAATGCCGGGTTATCGGGAACTAGGGTTAAAAAATAAGAGCAATACAATTTTAAAGATTTTTAACCGCATTTTATTTTTGTATTTATATTACAAGTCAGTATTAAGTCATCAGATATAGTACAACAAATCCTTGGTACGAGTTGTGAATGATTTGACTTGAGCTGGCTTGAGTCCATGTTTAACTCGGACTCAAAAAATCACTAATTATTTGAGCCAGGTGATGGTCGAGTTATCCAGACTGCCAGGTTATCAAGTGCCGAGTTTGTGGGACTCTACTGTACAGGGGTCGGGGGCATGGGAATCAGTTATATAAAGGTTATGTTCGTTCGTTATGTAGGAGTTCCGTACTTTGGGTATTTGTTATATAGGGGTAAGTAAATAATAAAAAAATGCCTAAATATTTGTTATATAGAGGGTTTTATATGTATTTTGTTTACTATATAGGGGCACATTTTCCATTGAGTGTTATGGCGTTTTCACAGGGATTGCAAAATACTACGTTATACAGGATGTCCCGTAAGTAAACAGCCAAACTCCGGGAAATGGTCCTATGGGCCAAAATAAAGAGAAAATCAAGAATAATTTTTTTTCCTGCTTTGTTAGCCAGATATACACCATTATGTTTTTTTCACATAAACATTTTTATCTTTGAATTTTTTCAACCGATCATTATGAAACTTGGAATGTATGTTTAGCTAAAACAGACCCATGTTAAAAAAAAATTATCTCAATACAAATAAAAATTTCAAAATGGTCGCTATTTTAGTTTTTTTAATTGAAATTGCAAGAAAATGGCTAATTTTATGAAAAAATTCCTAGAACACTTTTAGGGGTAACGCACTTCAATGGTTTAAAAGTTATCTGTCTCAAAGATCTCAACTTGTATCAATACTTAACACCAACAGTAATATTGAACAAGTTAACTATGGTGTAGTTCAAGGCAGTACACTTGGGCCTGTTTTATTTTTAATATATATAAATAATATTTCAAAACTTAATATTTTTGGTAAGCTTTTCTTATTTGCGGATGACACTTTAATTTTGAACAGCGGAAAAACTTGGCTTGAGGCCCGCAACAAAGCTTTGCACGACCTAATGGAAACCAAGTTGTGGTTAAACCAGAATATACTCTCTTTAAAATCATCAAAAACTAAGTTTATCCCAATTTCTTTAAGTTTAAAATCTGATTATAATCTAGAAAATCTCGTCATTCACACTTGTGGTGATTACCTCGACGCCAACTGTACATGCGAATCTATTGAAAAAGTAGATTCATTCAAATATTTAGGAGTGGTCTATGATTACCGTCTTAAGTGGTCTAGTCATATTCAATATTTTAACAGTAAAATTAGAAAATATATCTATGCTATCGGTCAGCTGAATCAGATTCTAAGTGAAATGAAATTAATGTACTATGCTTTTGTTCAATCACTTTTATGGGGGGGTTGTTATAAAAGTATTTTAGAGCCATTAAACATAACACAAAAGTTAATATTAAAAATTGGTTTTGGGAAGTGCAGGCTGTGTGTCAGTTTTTTAACGATCAGACAACTTTTCATAAAAAATGTTCTTAGTCTTATTTTTAAAAATTATAGCAACATTTTCTCTATAATTTCCCATACACATAATACTAGATATTCTTCACGAATTGGAATTACATCACTACAACTGTACAAATCCTTTTCATCGACCAACTCATTTTATATTGCACATGTTCTATTTCGTAACTTACAAAACTTTTTTCAAAGTGTTAATCTCTTTGACTCCCCCACTTTAAACATTCAAACGCTGTGTCAATGATTGGTTTCTTGGTCTAGGCAGGGACGAGGCTGAGCTTATCATCGCAGCTGATTACAGACACAGACGCTCCTGACACGACATGCGACCTGACCATTGTAACCTGACTCGTTCTCCGCCGCCTGCCCCACCCCTCTAGACACACTTTGAAAGCCGTAGAATTCCTGTCACTATTACAGTTCATTTATTTTTATTTGAACTTAGTTATGCCACCTAATATTTTTTCACATAGCCATTCATCTCACAATTTTTTTTTCTTGTAACTCCATTTACATCATATTGTCACCTCATCATATCTCCCGTCATTTATTTATTTATTGCATTTTGATAAATAATGTTTGGACGCAACTACAGTCGACGCACAGGCTCGCTGCCCATGTCGGCTTATTCCCTATTAACATGTACGCTTTTTTTTTACATAGATGTAATGTAAAGGTTAATTTAATTTTATTCTTTTAAATTCACTTATGTTTTTTTTCTTCCTTTAAATATTTGTGTACATATTCTGTAAATAATTTGTTGGAATAAAGAGATAATTCATTAATTCAATTAATTAATTCATTCATTCATTCATTCACTCGTCATAAACACACACACACACATACATCACATGCAATGGTCTATGGAATTGTGTCTTATTGTATTGTTACTATCAACCCTTCCCGAGCGGCGGCTGCAAGGTGAAGCCCTACTCAACACATGATCAATAATTTGGTTGGGATTTTAAAAACCGATTTTAAAATTTTGATGTTTTTCTGCTTCTATCTGAGGGTTTAAGTTGATCCCTAGGAATGCCCTGGCCTGATTTATGCTCAAATGCTTGGTTCCCTGGCAATTTTGGCCATTTTGCAGAGGTTTGTTTAACAGTTTGCAGTGCCTAAAGTACTGTTGATAACCTAGTCATATTCATACTTGTTTTGTTCGGAAAAGAAAGGAGATGTAAAAATAAAATAAAAGACCAGGAATCCCTGTTGGTGGTTTTTTGCAAAATGTGAAAAATAAAAAAAAGATTCAAATGTTGGAATAATTTTTAAAAGCAGAGGCCTAGCATTTTTACACCAATTTTTTTACAGACAATCTAAGATAAATTAAATATAGGCAATTTATTTCTCTATGTGGAAATGTGATTGATTTGTTTCAAATAATTTTTTTACCAGAATTATGGGGGGAAATATGGAAATTGGGGAAAATCAACAAATTTGCGCCGAACATTTGAAACATAAAATATAATGAGAAGTACACAATTTATATACAAAAGTTGTTATATTACTAAAAAGGCAACAATACATTTATTCAGAATAATGTCATATTGTACAAAGTTATAACTTTTTTATGACTTTATATGACTTAAAAAACAAAATTGTAGTTTTTCCGAAAACAAAAATTTTCACAGTTATATCTAATTTTTGTACTTTACTATAATATGATAAATATAACATGTATTTGTAGGAAATATATGTCTGAACAAGAAAATACCGGGTGTCCACAAAGTCTTGGTCTGATTTAATAGCTTTGCTGTACGAAAACCATTAGAGCCACACTTAACTTGTATGCCTTGTTTTGAAGGGAATTTA